GGTGACTGACAGAGGGACATGTAAATAAATTTGGGGAGGTGTGAAAATAGTCTGGAGAAAGATTACTGAATTTATACAAAATACCACACAAAGTATTTTATAACTGAATTAACAGAAACAGCAGTTAAAAGTATTGTGCCATCATATAATTTAAAATGGTATTTTAACACAAAAAGGGCCAGGTTCACAAGTTCTCAATTTACTTCACATTGCAATAAAGCCTGAAAGGTGTTTCAGCTAGTTTTGGGGAACATTTTTTTTTTGATAAATTGTAAGAATTTATCCCTATTTACAAGAAATTCTTCAGAATAAGAACCCTAAAGAAACATCTACAGCAAATGTAAGGTTATTCTTCATTGTACCCAAAACCATTTGTGCTTCAAAAAGGTTTTGGTCTCTGCCTCCATATGTGGCTTGCACTGGAACTTCAGTTTTATCTCTTAAATTATATTTCATCACTAAACTTGGGAACTCCTAGCTCTTGTACACTGGACATGAACTCCAACAACAAAGGACCTGAAAGGGCTCCTGTGGCTAATGGGGGCTACCAACCCTAAGATAGACAAATACTTTAAAAATTTTGCTTCCAATGAACCTTCCAAGATCACTTCCCACCTATCAAATTCTCAGTTACTCTCCCCCACCCACACGCGGAGGGTTGTGCTTTCCAAGTGGTTCTTTTCCCCAATAAAGCCACTGTTCTTTTCCTTCATAAAACCACTGTGCCATCTGAAAATTTATTTTATGCTTGGAATTATGAGTGTGTGATATTTTTCCAGATACCATGCATTAAAACATTTGTTCCTAGGCAGCGACTGTGTACACAAAGTATCAGTGCCAAGCATTGACAGAAGTTACACAAATAAAAGTCCTCAATAGTGGAAAAGATGAGCTTTGTTTTGAATTTGTTACACTCCCTTCAGAAAGTAGGCTGATTTTCATTAACATGCAAGTGGTTCACATGCCTCTGCTTTCCAAGACCAAGCATTTGAGAAGGGAAAAAAAAGGGAAAAAATAGGAAATTGCATAAGGGCCTGCCCATTTTGGGTCCCAATGATTAATGAAATGGAAATGTTAATGCAGCTCAGAAGTGGCCATATCACATGGAAGTTCAGAAAATAACTATCGAGTTGTTTCCAAAAAACTGTACCCATTAATAATCTCAAACCTCAGTTGGAACACAAGAGGCATAAGGGAAATATGTTGACCCTGATGGTATTGATTAAACCACGCTATTGAAAGTTTCACACACCAACCACAATCCACCTAGGAAAACCATCAAGAGCTGAATTCCAGTAAGGACAAAATCATTTTTAAATGGACATGTAATTTCTGTAAGGGTTCTAGCCAAAGCCAATGTAGATCAAATGAAATCACAAGCTTCTCAGCTCCTCACACCATATAAGATTTCTTCAACATCTGTACAATCTTTTTTGCTTGACATTCTTCGCATCTCAAGATTCCTCAAGTCTTAATAGTACTAATTCTTGTTCCTGGTAATTGTTGGGTTTCTTCTGGACAACACAGTTCCCCTTATTATCGACAGCTGTATCAAAAGTATATTTAAACATTATATTGATAAAATATTTAATTATTCAAACATATTCAATATATTTTCTGAGGTGATAGAAGGGTAAACCGAGATTGCAACAGTAATTATCTAAATTTCTGTTAGTGGAATATAGCACAAATTCTGCTGCTAAAGGCAAAATTGTCTCACAAACAGAAATAATAAGGAATATGATAATCAGTACTGGAGATAAAATATTATTAATGGTTGATTGTAGCATTTTATTTTTCCAAGTCATTTGCAAAGCACTGAACAGCTCTCTGGTGTGTCTGTTAGGGCTGCAGGCAGAATGGGGGGAAAAGGCTACTAGAGAGGCAAAGTCTGATCCAGATCCAAGATGCTTACACTCCATATGTGTTCCACCAATCATAACTGCTTTATTCTGAAGCAACTTCAATAAATTAGTGTAAGATTGCCTGCAAGACAGTAAATCAGAGAAACCATGTTTACATGGTTTTGTTTTCTTTGGCAGTTGTTGAAGGTTAAAAACTTTATGACTTCATCCCAAATTTGCTATCAGAAATTGCTTTTGTATAGCTACCTTGGAAGAGAACCTTAGGAGAAATTTTCTTCACGGGGATTTCACAAAACCACAAAACTTGCTATCTACCTAAAGAAAAGCTTGTAATACCTTGATTAATCAGCCTTCATATGCTTATTGTGGGCTGCTTTCTGAATTCAACAGAGGATGTACAAGCTACCCAGCTACAGGTCAATGCAAGAAAATCAAATGGAGCAGAGAGTGTGTCTGGGAAGGATACCTATCCTCTTTGCTCCTGGGCAGCACAGAGGGATGTTCCATGGAAAAAATTATTCAGATGATCTCATTAGCCAGTAGCAAAGCAGCCAAAGATGAATATTAGGAGACTGTAGCAGACACACCATAGGATGATGGAATTATTTTCCTTGGGGTTGTCTTCTCCTTGTTTCTTGGATGCTTTTGCATCTACCATAATTGTAAATGAAAATCAGAGCTTTGACATTCAAAATGCAAACCCAGCAGTCAGACTATCACTGTGGTGTACTTGGATAAGTACTTGAATTGAATATCAGGAAGAAATTTTTTTAATTGAAAACTGAGCCTAAGATGGATATTTTTAAATTGAAATGAATATTTCTCCTCTTTCTGGCATGCCTGAAATGCATTGGATTAATTTCAATCACAATTCTAGCTATGTACGGGTCAAATTCAGAGAAATTAAAATGAAACCTTACATTTGCACAAAGCTGGATGTTTAAATATTTAAATATTCAACAGCAAGGATAAATTAAGGAAAAATGCTCTGTACTGAGATTCAGAAAAGTATCTACAAGGCATGGGGGCTGATGAGAACTTCAGAGTCAAAACTTGAAGTGCAAAAGCAGCAGCTCTGTCAAATGGCAACAAGGCTGTATGTGGCAGGTATCTGTATTTAGCTACATTTCCATTTATTTAGGGAAAAAAAAAAAGAACTGCATTTATCTTTTCCTTGCACAAGACAAGTATATTAATATGCCTCATTTGTGTTCTGATCTCAACTGAGTTCCTGATTAGCTCATTTTTACTATCAGATTTCAACAAGCACAGGGGGGTGCTTGTGTAAAAAATAAGAAATGCATGACAACACTAGAAGTAACTTCGCAAGTAACTATTCAAACCAAGTTGATGCACTTGTCATAGCACTGGGTAGCCACAGTGGTGGCATTGCCACAAGTCAGAGGAACAACACAGAAGCAGGATTTGTGTGGAGATAACATCTTTGGTTAGACAAAACTGCAAGTAATAAGGAAGGCTGACAAGTTTTCTTGTACTAAGATTTTCTGCAATTATACCAGTTGATTTAACACGAGCTACTACCTTTCCCTTCACAACTTCACATACATGTGGCACTTCACACCCTGCATTATCAACTCCTCACTATTCCAGTCACAAACTCCGGGAGCAGACAATTTTACCACTTAACCCAAGGAAAGAAACAGTAGGTGTATGTGAGGTTTTGTTGCCTCTGTTTCTGGATGGACATGTTCATAAAAACTTTTTTCCTTACCTTTTAAATCGTCTTCAAGTGAGACAAGTTGAATGAATCACACATGAAGTACAGCAGATGTTCAATAAAGCAAGCATGTTACAGTTTCAGATGTAAAATAGTCTGTAGCATTATTGAAGCATTGGAGCATTATGTGGACAAGACAGGCCCCTTTGGAGCTGTCCTCTTATCATGCAACACATAAAAAAACACCACTGTAATTATTCTCATAATTAAAATTCATGGAAAATACACCAATTACTGATTGATTTGAGACGCAGCAGACTTCAGGTACACACACAGCTCTCCCCTAGGAAGGGCATAGATTTACTCTGTAACCACTTGGTTGAGGACACACCTCATGTGCGGTGTCCAGCTCTGGGCCCCTCAGTTCAGGAAAGACACTGAGGTGCTGGAGTGAGTCCAGAGAAGGACAGCAAGGCTGGAGAAGGGTCTGGAACACAAGTCCTGTGAGAAGCAGCTGAGGGAGCTGGGGGTGATCAGCCTGAAGAAAAGGAGGCTCAGGGGGGATCCCATCACTCTCTGCAGCTCCCTGAAATGAGGCTGTAGCCAGGTGTGGGCTGGTCTCTTCTCCAAAGTAACAAGAGGAAATGGTCTCAAGTTGCACCAGGAGAGGTTTAAATCAGGTATTAGGAAAGATTTATTCACTGAAAGGGTTGTCAAACATTGGAATTACTGACCAGGGAGGTGGTGGAGTCACCAACCCTTAAGTTATTTCAAAGACATGCAGATATGGCACTTAGGGACATGGTTTAGTGACAGACTTGTGCTGGGTTCACTGTTGGACTCAGCAATCTTAAAGATCTTTTCCAAAATAAATGATTCTGTGAGTTCAGAGAGGATACCAGACAGAGATCATTCTGACTTATCTGGTAATACGAACTCCTTTTCTTCCATTCTACACACTAAACAGTAGGGGAATGAACTATAAAGGACTACATCAAGTTAATCTAACTAAAAAAAGACCATTTCCTTAAGGAAGCAAGTTCTTTTTCAAGGCCTTGTCTTCAGGAATACTAAAGTTATAGCTCTAATTCAATCTTGTAAACATAAAGCAAATTGTTCCATGTCTTCCCCTCTTAGTCTGCAAATATCCCTTGTCTTAACTTGGATTCTACTCTATGGTAATAAAACCACAAGTAACCTTATGCTAGCAACCACAAGTTAAGGACAGCCTTTTCTGCTAGGTCTGGAGAATGAAGTAGCAAATACATGCATTTAGTACTAGAATTATTTTGCACAAAGTACAAATGCTTGAGCAGTCTTATTTGGTAGAGTATTATAATGTCCTTGGTAGATCAAATTCCCCAAGACTGAAAATGTACCAAACTGATGCTAAGGAAATATTTAATGAGTGCAAAGGTCAATTTTTCTAATTTCAGAACACAAATCTGTCATTTCAGGTTCTTTCAGAAGATTAATGAGGCATCAATCTCTCAAAGAAGTGAGAAAAAACACTGAACCTTTTAAGCCTTTGTATTATACACTTGGTTTCATATACTGAAATTGTGTTTCATATTATTTGGCTACTATTTTTTCACTTGTCAAATTACAATGTGTTTTTCTGTGACAGAATCTGACCTAGGCATATGACAGCACATCACTACAAGTTTTACTCAGATGTTGCAATTTACCCAGACCTGCTGAAAGTGAGCAATACATCAAATGACACTGTACGATACTGGTACCATGCAGCTCAAAAACTCTGCTATTTTATCTTCTTCCTCCACCCAAGAACTGTAATATGTCACCAAGAAAGGATATACTGCCCTAAAATAAACAGAAATACACACTTAACCAGTCAGTAAAACAGAATATTATAGGTCAGCATTAGAAGTGAAAGCTACCAGTGTTCACATTACTCTATATTGTGTTTCTGAATATGAAAATCATGGCTGTCAGATCAAACCTCCTCAAAGGTAACTCAAAGACATCTCCAGCAAGTCCTCTTAAGACAGGCAAGGTCAGAAATCTTCACCTCAGAGGACTGACATCTTCAGAAGGACCACACTGCCCTGCAGATCTGACACTGAGACCCCTTAATATTTGACATTTCTGTCAGAGGAATTAAAAAAAAAAAACTGTCTTCTCTGCAACAGTTTCTCATTCTTCAACTGACAGGATTCCTGGGAATGCTGACTGTCAACTGGGAATTAAAAATTATTTTCCGGGAATCCTGACTGTCAACTGGGAATTAAAAATTATTTTCCTAAAGAGAAGTATTGGGAAGTAGCATTCTCATGTCACGCTGCATTGGTCAGTCTGTCAGGACAGCTGGTTTCAGGAAAATCATCTCATTTCATCAAAATCAGCTCACTTTTATTTTTTTCCTTTAATACTGTGGCTCTCAAATCACTAACAGACCTAATGAGTCTCTGCTTTCTTGTGCTACATTGTTTTTTATCCCTGTATATGCATGTAGTGGAGTCAGAATGTTTTCCAGCTGAGGCAGACCCTCCTCTTTGGCAGATCTCCAGGCACCCTGTGTCTTGTGTTAATGAGCAGCAGGAGTTTCAGATCAAGGCATCAAATGGACAATTATCTCAGAATATTATGCTGCGAGGTGTCCCAAAAGCAGCTTTCCCTCCAGGTTTCAACAACCTCAGCTAAGCAACATTTCTACAGTTTAGCTTGGTACAGGAGAAACATTGATATTTTGAACAAGCCTTTCAGATAAAACCTCACACGACTCCAGACAAGGACTTTCCACTGACCAAGAGCTCTGTTCCATCACATCCAGTTTCCACAATCCTATCTAGAAAGATTTAGGGGGCATCCATGGCTTGGCTGTGACTTAGCCCTTGAGTCTGACTCAGAAGCCAAGAATTTTTCTTCCCCATTTCCATTTCCTGCTTGATTTTAGCAGACCAGTGTGGAGTCCCTGTAGAGCAAGGCCCACATATATCATGTGCCTGACCACTTAAAACTTTTCTTTCAGGGGTTCTACTGCCATCCCTTCAGAGTAAATTCTGTTCAAAAACTGTATGGTTCATGTAGGGAGGGTTGTCTGCTTTTTAAAAAATAAAAAGTAGTTCTAGGCAAAGAGTAATTTCATACAGCTATGATCAGAGACAGCTAGGAAGGCTTACAGAAAATTCTGGGGCTCACAAGCTGCATGGGCTGGTTCTTAGTGGTATAACCACTCAACAGCTCACTGCTCAGAGGAAAAAAAAATACATAGTTACTCAATCATCTCAGAACAAAGATAAAACTTCCTCAACTTTGTGCCTTTGCTGTTATTTTAGCAATGGTGCACAACTGCCATCCTTCTATCCCTAATTATGCCCAGAGAACAGGCATAGGAGCCTGGGATTCTCTTTTTCTCTTACCCCCTTTTTTTGCATAAACAGACAAGTGTGTGCTTACCTAATCTAAAATAGTTGTATCTCAAATGTTTGGGATTTTTTTTGTGTCAGCCAGTTCCTAGCCCTATGTACAGTTCACAGAATCTTTAGGATCTTAGTTTAAGGCGAGAACCACAAACAGCTCTTTTTCTAAAAATAAATAAATAAATAAAATTTAAAAAAAAAAAAAAAACAACACCAACAACTTATTTTCCTGGGAGTGTTTTAATGCTGGAAACTCAAAGGGCTTTAATAACTGTTTAATACTGGGTGTTTTTTAAGTGTATAAGGAGTTTCCTAAAGTTTCTGATCCTGGTTCCCACAGGAGTTACTGAGACCAAACACAATGAGAAATATGAGGAGTCTTGAAATCACAGTACAAGCACCTACCAGTTCAAGAAAATACTGTAAACAGAAAAAAATTATTTATAGTCTTGTCACTACTTCATGTGGCTTTTCCATTCTAATGGCAAAGCCTGCTGATGGCCTCTTGATTCAAATAGCACTGGATGAGGCCATGAGCATTACAAATATGGCTCAAATCACTGAAAATCACATCTAACAAAGGTCAAACATACTTCAATTATCTATGCCTGCATCCGCCTTATTTTTTAGCCCTTCCAATAACTAAACATGTCTAAGCCATTAAATAACTCTTCCAAACTAGGCATGCCCATTCTATCTCACAACATTCCCAAAAACCTGAATCTTTTGCGTCTCTTTTTCTGAGTATGAATATCAGATGAAATTATTTTCTCTGTTTTCTGAGAGGTAAAGGTGGTCACAGAGTAGTTGCTCGAGTTTTTTCTTCAAGTCCACAGTAACACTTGGGAATAAAAAACCTGATCTGCCAATCTCCCACCCACTGAATGACAACACAAATAATCAGGTATTAATAGCAAGCTAAAGACTTAAGCATTATTTATTTCATCTGCTGACTTAGGGCATGATTGTTCTCCAACAGAAATTAATGGTAAACTCCCTTTGAATTCAACAAGGGCAAGATTAAATCCCTGGTTTCTTGTCTCTCTATAGAAGCTGACAAATCACAAAAGTTAAATGACTATTTTTACTTGGGGAATAATGGTGGGGAAAATGTACACAACAGTTATTCCATATTTCTTCTCCCATTCCTTTACCAGACTTCTGATTTTTACTTTGAATATTTAACAAACACACATACCAAAAAAACCAAGATACAATAATAGGCTGACCAATACAAAGTCTGTCGTTACAAAGCAGACACATTTGCATTTAGGATACTTTTAAAATCACATTAACTGACTTGCAAACCATTCACCCCCTCCACTACCATTCCCTCACCCCCTTTTGTCACATGCACATACTGTGGGGACTGCCAAGACAGAACATCCCACTGACCTTGGCAACTGGCAGCTGTGATCAATCACTTCATAAAATCCTATGTGTCAGCTAGAAACCATTTGTATTTCTTAAGCAAGTCAATCTGCTTAACAGCTTAAGTCAAGAAATCCATTCAAAAGGCTAGGAAGACAAACTCATATCGATGAAATATTTCTTTATGCCTAATTTTCTTTTTTTCTTTTTCCCTAATAGTTAATATTAGAGAAGAAATTCTTCTCTGTCATAGTGAGAAGCTGCTTGCACACTCCAGTGAAGGTGTACTAGTTAATGGAGGGGATCTCATCACTTACTGGTGAAGCTCACTACAGGTAACCCTGGCCATGACAAAACTTCCCAATGTTTTCAGACAATTAATCTGATCTAAATACAAAGCGAGTTACCAAACAAAAGGAAAGCAAACATCTCTCCATAGAAACAGAGCATCAGACAGATTTGTTATTATCAAACACAAAAACACTAAACAAATGAGACAGTTTTTAACCCTAGGCTGAACTTTGGTGGAATGAGATCAGCACGGAAAGTCACTCTTTCCATAATTATTTTCTCTTTAAAAGGAACATTTCAATGGATTTTCTTTGGACAATTTGCTCATTATTGAGACTGTATATTCTGCTCTCTGCCCCTAGACAGTCCTATGAGCATAATGTAAGTGATTTGTTGACTGTTTGCATACTTCATCTGTCCGACAAAAATAACAGTTTTTTCACTCAACCCTTTGGATAAAACAAAACAATCTTAAAATATGCAGATCAAACCTAAAACTTAAAGGAAAAAAGTAATGGGAAGGATTAAGAAATGAGGAAAGGACACTGAAGAGACAAAGAAAGAAGCCAACTGTGAAAAAGTGAGGATAACAAAGACATTACTCATTGGAGTCATGAGTCTTGAATGAGTAAAGGGGCCTGCGCAGCTAATCTACAGTTAAACGTGATCACAAAAGGAATTTTACTACCTTGACTGCATTGTGATACCTCCTAGGAGTAGTAGAATAATAAAGCAGAAGCTTGCACTTTCAAACACCATTCACTCCTACAGCCATCCATAGGAATGGATAGCTCATTCTCCAAGAACATAACCATTACAAAATACAGTAATAAAACATGTTTCCATTCACAACCTCAGGGAAAAGTATATGGTGTTTTGCATTTTTACTGTAAAATGAGAATACTGTGAAAGCTACCTTCTTAGGGTACAATGACACACTTCCTTTCTCACCTAGACCAATAAAAGCATGCAATGCAAGCAGGGTGTCACACCTCACAGGTGTCTGGCCACTTGAAAGTCACTCTGCAGCAGCATCAATTACCCATATTATAATCAATTATGATTTGTCTTTACTAGATTGCGCATTCCAAATTTTTAATCTAATTAGTGTCTGCTCAAAGGGTTTTTTTTTTTTTTTTCAGATTCAGCTTTGGCAAGGAAAGGATTTTAAATGCCAGATTCATTTCCAATTTATATCTGACAGAGAATTTTTAAGTTCTCCTGATATGAGCATGAGAAAAAGGAACTGGCAATAGCTAACCACTAGTTTCAACAGCAAGGATGGGAACATAGCTGTTTTCTCAGTGTATGTCCGAAGCAGAAGGCAACAGGTTCAGAATTGTTGTGGCTTAATCGCATTTCATCACTGTGATAGTCTTTGAAAAAAATTTCCAAGCAAAAGCTTGAAATTCATCACCACTTAAACAAGACAGTGTCTCTTTCCACTCATCACACTTTTTTATATACTTTAGGAAGGCTGCTTATCACTGATACAGGAAA